CTTATTTAGGGGTTTCAAAGGTTTTGCCCTAGCGTCCCCTGGTCTGGCCAGCTACAACAAGTGTGTCCCCGAAGCTCTAAATTGCTGTCTGAACCTGAGTCTCAATTACCCCCGGTTTAGGGTTTAGGGTTCAGGGTTTAGGGTTTTGAGGGTTATTTAGGGTTTAGGGTTTAGGGTTTAGGGTATTTAGGGTTTAGGGTCTAGAGTCTCAATCCTGAAGCATTACCGCCCAAGCCTTACACCGTATCAGCAGGTTCCGGCCTACCCTCACGTGCAGAGTCCGCAGGCCCAGCTTTGGGCGGCTTTTCTTGGCTTGGCCCTTGCAAGAGGGGCTTTACCAGCCTCTCGCATGTGGGGGGTTCTGGGGTTCGTGGCCTGGGGTCGAGGGTTTCGGAATGTAAAATAGAAGCCTAAATTACCACTATTATTCCTTAGGGTTCCTTAGCATGTTTATACTATAAGGTACCCCAAAACCCTCTTCTAATTACTAAGGCCCCTGCATCAGCTTCGCCTAACGCGCCAAACAAGGGACAGGAAACAACACACCCTCAACCTCAAGCCTGACTTGCCCAAGCCCGCTGCGAAGAGCACCCCTCTAAGATTCTGCCGTTGGGCTAAGCTCGAGTCTTCGAGGGTCAGGGGAGGTGACAAGCCGAGACCTTTGAGTAAAAGGTGAGAAGAGTGGCAACCCCAATGCGGCCCTAAACCCTAAACCCTAAACCCTAAACCCTCCTCATCGCCCCAACTGTCCAAGTCACTCATGATCCTATAAGCAGGGTCCAGGCGCTCCTGATCCACGCGCACACTTCTTCACAATCCTGATATAGGGGCCTCAGAAAATGACCAATACTATTTTGGGGGCTCCTTATTAAAATTCTAGTATAACATACCCCAAACCCTCGTCTAATTACTAAGGCCCCCTACATGACTTGCATCCTACAACCTCCATGTCTCTGCACCCTAAATCCAACCCATCCCCCCTCCCCCAAGACCCGACAGCCCTAAAGCAGAGAAAGCCCTAACACCCCGTAATTTTTGTACACTAATTAATTACCATTCTATTCCTTGGGGTTGCATCTTGATTGTACGTACTATGAAGGATCCGCACACAGCCCAAAACACTATTCGAAGTATTAAGGCCCCTACATGAACCTTAGACGAGTCTGCAGCTAGCAGTGGCTGGGGGTGAGGGGTTCAGGGGTCGGATAATGAGGTAGTAATAGCATGTTCTGAACCTGCCAGGTGGTTACTGTAGGGGCCTTAATAATTCGAATAGGGTTTTGGGTTCCTTTTATAGTATATCTTTCATGAGGAACCCTAACAATAATGTTGGTATGTATTTAGGCTTCGATAGTAAATTAAACTGAGTTGTGGTTGTGGGCGGTGTGTTGACACTTAACCGGGTTTCGGCTTCATTGGGTTTCCAGGATGCTTCCTTTATATGCCCGAGTATATATATATATATACATATATATATATATATGTATATATATATATATGTATATGTATATGTAACATAGATCCCCTCAACCTGCGTTAGTCATGGACGAACCTTTTTTGACGAACCCCGATTCCAAGACTTCCTCTCCCAAGTCCTGCATGCAGAGCGGAAGTGAAGCATGAACCAACCGAGTCAGGGGGTTTAGCTTAGATAGCCAATAGGAGAACTTTAAGCTTTTTGCCCTTATCCATTTGGTTGTTGAAGAAGAGAGTTAGGGTGTAACCAGGGTTTCGGGATTAGGGGGCATTTCTGGTTTCACCCTTTGGGCAGCTCTTCTTCCCTAAACCCTAAACCGTAAACCCTAAACCCTAAACCCCTAAACCAAAAACCCTAAACCCCTAAACCCCTAAACCCTAAACCCTAAACCCAAAACCCAAAACCCCTCTTCACAGACCAGCCTGGTCCTTCCCACACCTGACCCTACCCAAATAAGAAGGATGTGACCCAGATTGCCGTACCCGCCTGGCCTTTAATTTAGCGTTGCGCCAGTTGTGGTGGTTCGAGTGGGGCTTCAACCAGCCGCTCGTGCTGATGGAGTTCTTGCGCCTGAAGACCCAAAGCCTCAAGCCCCAAAGCCCTCAAGCCCACAAGCCAGCCCAAACCCTAAACCCTAACCCTAAACCCTAAACCCTAAACCCGAAACCCTAAACCCTAAACCCTAAACCCTAAAACCCCAAACCCTAAGACCCTAAACCCTAAACCCTTGAGGGCTGAGGATATAGATATATATATATATATACACATATCTATATATACATACTATAATTAATTAATTAATTACTTAATAAAATAATTAATTAACTAATTAGTTAATTAATTAATAAATATATATATATATATATGAGCGGCTTGCTTATGCCTTTCAGGCTTTTGAGGTTGGCTTCGACGCTGGGCTTTAGCACGCGCACGGAGGACTTAAGAAGTACTGTACGGACCTTAATAGTTAGAATAGGGGTGTTCCTTTAAAGGATTCCTTAAAGGGTTCTATAAGGGCTGCTATAAGGGTTTAGGGGCCTCAAAAGTTAGAATAGGGTTTTGGGCTCCTTTATATGGTATATTTATAGTAAGGAACCCACAAGGACTAGTATTGATGATTATTTAGGTGTCTGTATTACACGTTTAGACTTCCGGTGGAGGCATGACTCTAACAGAATAACTGGCCCACCGCATCTGATGATTTGTTTCGGGCTCTGGGCGAAGGGCTGAAGGAAAGCCCTTATGGCTGCCCTCGGAACTTTTAGGGTTTTAGGATTTAGGGTTTAGGGTTGAGTAAGGTTTAGGGTCTAGGGTTCCAAGCCCCAACTGCAGCCCCAAAACCGACTGAAGTCCGCATCTTAAAATCCCGAAAGCCGATGCATAAAAGCCGGATCCAAAAAGCCCAAAACCCTAAACTCCAAATCCAACCTAACGAAGTATCGGAAAAATCGGCCGTTCAACAAAACTTACATCGTAGGACGAGGATCTCCCTAAGCCCTAAACCCTAAACCCTAAATCCCTAAACCCCTAAACCCCTAAGCCCCTAAACCCCCCTAAGCCCTAAACCCTGAACCCCTATAACCTAAATCCTAAATCCTAAACCCCTTAACCCTAAACCCTTTCAACCTAAACCCTAAACCCCTATAACCTAAATCCTAAACCCAAAGCCCTTATCCCCTAAACCCTAAACCCTTTCAACCTAAATCCTTAACCCGAAACCCTAGACCCCTAAACTTGCCTTCAACCCTCCCTCCCCAAAACTCCTGGACGACTCGAAGTCCACGTGCCTGGAAGCTTGGGGATGCAGCGGTTACAGGGATTCAGAGCTTAAGCTTTGGGTCTGGGGTTTCGGGTTTAGGGTTTAGGGCTTCGGGTTTAGGGTTTAGGGTTTAGGGGTTTAGGGGTTTAGGGTTTAGGGTTTAGGGTAGAAGCCAGAAAATTGAAACATGACCATCCTCGTGCCCGTAACGCGACGTATAAGGGATCCTAGCGCGAACCATCCTAAATCCATGTTACAACTTTCTGCGGCTTGCCGAAGGGGCTTAAGTTCAGGGGTTTAGGATCGACTGATTTAGGGTTTGACGGCCCCTGCTTGAAGTTTCCTGGCTACCTAGTGGTAGGTAGGTCAAGCACAGTTGCAGCTGCCCTACTTACAGCTTTAGTGAAAAACTATCCATGCTCATTCAATCGTGCGAGTGCCCATAAAGCCTAACAAAAAATCACTACAAGTAACTACACTGTAGCTACACTTCCTGCAGCCCTAATGGCTGAAGCCGACGTTTGTTCCTTGAGTTCGAAGTGCACATACTTCCCAACGAGCTCGGAAAGCCTTAAAGCCCGCAGCAAACCCTGATACTGTTGATGGACAAAATCCTGCATGACCCAAATATAGTATAGTACCATAAAATCCCATAGTTTAGGTATATAAGGTCATGCAGGATTTTGTCCATCAACAGTAGTAGGGGTTTAGGGTTTTGGGTAACTTCAATATTCCGAAACTCTGAACCCCCGAAACCCCCAAATCCCCCAAAACCCCAAGCAAACCCACAGCGACGCGCCTAGGACCGGCACAGAGCCCAAGCCAGTGGCTTCGGCGACACCAGCCAAAACCATCCGAGTGGCAGCCCCAAGATTCGTCTTCAGGGTTTAGGGTTTAGGGTTCAGGGATCAGGGTTTAGGGTTGGGTTTCTTTTGGAGTTTAGGGTGCAATTTTTAGGGTGTTAGAGGGTTAAGATTTTTGCTTCGGGTGTAGGTGTAAGGTTTAGGTTTAGGGATTCCTACAAGGATCCCTATGTATGCATACTACATTACACCCGCAAGCCGTCGTCCGCGGGGTGCAGGATTCAAGGTTCAGGGTTTGCCATAGCGATCTGAACATTTTAGGTTTAGGGTTTAGGGTTTAGGGTTTAGGGTTTAGGGTTTAGGGTTTACTGTTCACTTATAGTACACGTCCTTTTGAGGAGGGGCCGTTTGGAACACACCTCCTCAAATGACCCAAGCCAAAAGGAAGCCACCGATTCCGTGGTTTGTTGGGGACGGCTATTGCGAACAACTGAGCAAGGCGAGAAGGGGTTAGGGTTTAGGGTTTAGGGTCTAGGGTTTAGGGTTTAGGGTCTAGGTTCAAGGGTTTAGGGTTTAGGGGTTAGGGTTTAGGGAAGACGCTGCTTTATTCACAGACCCCTGTTGGTAGTCGCAGCTGCTAGCCGGCTGGGCTCAGTTTCCGAGAATACGGGGGTACCTTATTTTGGGGCCCTAAAAATATGGATCCTATTATTTCGGGTACTAAATTAGGATCCCTTATTTTCGGAAACCCGCATACACATTAGGAGCTCAGTCTGGCAGAACAAGGGTCTATCGTGTGGAACATGGCTTGCGTACTGTTCCTGAATACAACAGAACCCGGAAGGCACTATATCCTGCAAAACATGGCCTTGCACAGACATTTAGAGTTTAGGGGTTTAGGGTTTTAGGTTTAGGGTTTGCGGAGTTCGGGCTTTCGCAGACAGGTTCAGCAGCAAATTCCATGGCCAAATCTCCGAGCTTCTGTTCTCTGCCGCAGGGATGTGGACTCCTGCAGATTGGGTTTCGTGCTGCACCGACGAAAGGACGAGCTCTGCCTTCGAAACTCTTAGGAAGGAAGGGTACAGCCTGCCTCCTTGCTGGCAGTGTCGTACTTAGGAGCTGCAGAGCCTGCCATGGGCGAGTTTTAGGGCCGGGTGCCCCTGGATGCAACACGCCGGAGTGGACCGAGCTTCTGGTAGATGGAGATTCGCACTCACTGGATGATATTTCTTGGGCCTTGCAGAACCTGCAGTCACGTGGCCAGCCGGTAAAGACCACGATTTTCGCAGCCCCGGCTCGGCTGCAGAACGGCAAGTGGTCTGATTTCATACGAGAGCAAGGGCTGCGGTTCCATGGCGTGACGAGGGGCCCCGGTTACAAAGATCCCAACGATGAAGCGATCGTCACCTGCATGAAGCAGCTGGTCATGCTTCCTGGTGTGAGCCGAATAGCTCTGTTGACATCAGACTCTGACTTTCTGCAATGCGCACAGCATGTCTGCGAAGCTGGCGGGAAAGTAGTGGTACTAGTACCCGAATCCCAGACCGGCACACGGAAGACTTACACCGACGCTGGCCTCGATGTCATTGCCATCGTCCACGCTGGGGCCAGGCAGTATCCACGAGTAAAGGCCTTTCTCCATTCCGACGGCACGGGATCCCTGCAACGCTGCGAGCCCGTCCAGCCTACGTTTGTTCGTGGGGAAGTGGCCAAGCTACATGCCTTGCTGGAGCAGCTGGGTCTCTGGCAGGGCTCGGACTCAAAACTCTCCACGTGCATTGCCAAATGCTGGTTCGCGAACTCCCTGGGCACGCTCACCCTCTTCCCTTTTCATTGCGCTATCTCGGAGCTCCACCAAGCACTTTCTGAAAAGAAGGGCGACTGGAGAAGGAGCTCCTCCCCTCCACTCGCCTTCTTCTTCCCCATCGGCAGCGGCACGCCGAAGTCGAAGCAAAAGGAGGCCTTCGGAGGCAGCCGAGCCGCGAGCCTTTTTCAGGGAGGCGGCCCCTTCATGCTTCAGGATTCGGACACCCTGCCTACCAGGCTGGCTGGGGATTCGGCCTAAAGCCTAAACTCTCTAAACCCTAAACCCTAAACCCTAAACCCTAAACCCTCCATGCTGCATGATTCGGACATCCTGCCTTCCAGGCTGCTGAGGAGGTTGGGCTACTTCGACGAGCACCTGAATGCCGACCTTCGGGAATCCATGCTGGTGTTTGCGAACATGCAGGGCAACAAGCGGCTCCTGAGGGAAGCCGGGTCTTTGCCGAACCCCGAGGACGTTTTCAAGACAGGTTCTAGCAAATGGAGGTTTTGGTAGGGTTTAGGGTGCCCAGACTGGTTCTTTTTTTTAACGGAGTCCCAAAGCCAGCTACCTTTAAGTCTAAACCCCAAACATCCCTCAACCCTGGTCTGAGCCTCCAATCAGGACGGCATTGGAGACCTCTTGGGCTTGCTGCGGCAGGCCTTTGTCTCGAATCTCGGCTTAGGGTTTAGGGTTTAGGGTTTAGGGTTTAGGGTTTAGGGTTTAGGGTTTAGGGTTTAGGGTTTAGGGTTGGTCAAGAACAGGAACTTAAGCTACCGCTGTGTGGAAGCATCGTAGAGAACGGCTCCTTCTTGAGTCAACTTAGGTTCAGTTCCTTGCAGACCCCCTAGCACCCTCACGGCATCCCAGTATGGCAACCTAAAATCCTAAAGCCTAATCGCGAATCCCTGAACCCTAAACCCTAAAGCACCCGTTATTAACACGAACGCCCAGGAATTCTTGCTCTGGGCACTGGCAGCTGCCGCCGAAGGATGTGGACGTGGGGTTGTTGAAAGTCACGCGCAGCCGGACGTAAGTCGGGCTTTGGAGTGTAGCGTTTTGGGGACTTTGGGGCTTATATAGCCCTAAGGCTCTAACGGCCCATATTTTGAGGCTTTTGGGCCCAAAAACCATACTTTCTAAGGCTTTTGGGCCATTTTGAGCCTTAGGGTTTATATAGGGTGCAGTCTTTGGGTGGCGCTCAGGGTTCGTGGTCAGGGTACGGAAGATTAATATAGGGGCCTTAATAATCAGAATAGGGTTTTGGGGGTTCTCTTAAAGGATTTTTTAAATGGTTGTATAAGGGCTACTATAAGGGTTTCGGATATAGGGGCCTTAATAATCAGAATAGGGTTTGGGGTATATCATATTATGATTATAATAAGGAACCCCCAGAACCCTATTCTGATTATTAAGGCCCTACATTACGTTAGTCGGCTTATGGCGAAGGTTTCTCATGCTGCAGGATTGACGGTTCAGGCTGCAGGCACTTTAAAAATAGGGCTTACATAAGTACCCTAAGCCCCAAACCCTTACAAGCCCTAAACCCCAAACCCCGAAATCCTGAACCCTAAACCCTAAACCCTAAATCCTAAACCCTAAATCCTAAACCGTCAACCCTAAACCCTAAACCCTAAACCCTAAACGAGATGGAGTAGCCCAGAGCAAGCCCTGAGGTGCGTGGGATGCTGGTGAGGAAGGGCTACCTGGAGTGCCCATCTCAAAGCGAGTCCGAGGTCCTCGAAGCTTGGTTCTTATAAAAGGGTTTAGGGTTTAGACTGTTTATATTCAGATGTGAACTACATATGTATATGTATATATATATATATATGTATGTATATATGTATATGTGTATATATGTATATGTATATATATATATATTACTTTTCATTTATATTTAATCATATATATATATATAGAGAGAGAGAGAGAGAGAGACAGAAGGAGGGTAGAGGGTTTAGGGTTTAGAAAATAGGGTGTAGGGTTTAGAATATTGGGTTGAGGGCTTAGCCGAGTATGCAATATGGGAGATTCAGGATTGGCACAGCAGGATCATGTAAACCAGGTTTTCAGGAAAAGTGACACCTGATTTTTTAGTAGATCCAGTTTCAGAAAGCAGAACTAGGAAAGTCTTTCTTTCCTACATGGCCTGTCTTATCCTGCTCTTGAGTACAAGCTCTTTCCAAGAACCAAGGAAGCCATGCAGCACTACTCGCGGCGCCACGGGCTGCCCAAGATGAAGACGTACCTGGGGAATGTGTGGCAGCTTCTTCGGAAGAAGAACCTAGGTTCCCCATTAGTACCCTTTTGCCCTTTTTGTTTTTGGGGTCCCTTATTAAACCCAAAGAGTAGGAAAAAGGGTGCCCTTATTGTTAGTGGTCTACTGGGGAACCTAGGAACAGTCGAGATCCATCCTGCAGGGAGTCGCTTCTCCTCGGATTCGCTGGTTGAGGAGACGAGGCAAAATTTTTGTTTAGGGTTTAGGGTTTAGGGGTTTAGGGTTTAGGGTTTAGGGGTTTAAGGTTTAGGGTTCAGGGTTTAAACGTGGCTCTGGCTCTTTTATGCTGCATAACTCTGACAGGCCGTGCACTGCGGAATCTTGGATATGTCGACAGAAAATATAATTAATGTCGGACGTATCGGGCTCCATGCTGGTGTTTGCCAACGTGTGCTACATCAAGTGGCTGCTGCGAGAGACAGGAATCTGGTGCACGCCGCAGATTCAAAGAGTTAAGTGGATGCCAAGATCCGACCAGCGTTCCTTTCAAGCGCGACCACCGGCCATTGGTAAAGCACCTGCAGAAGACACGGAAGTGCGGAATTGCTAGACATGCAGCTCTACTCTCCTCGCCATGGCTTGCCAGTCCGGCAATCCTGCCTGGAAGCTGTATGACGTATGGCAGACTACACACAGGTGAATGCTTCTGATCCTAACCACCGGGAAGTTGTAGGAGGTCTCTGATGTTGCAGTGATGGTCAGCCCGGCGGTATCTGATTGAAGAACTCATTCGCAGTGAGGAGGGCAACCGAATGCACGCCCGGGGTTGGTTTCACTTTTTCAAAATACACTCCCAGAACTGGTGTACCTCTACCGCAATCCAAAGATTGCAGGCAACAGGCGACTTGTGGTTCCGGAAGATGCC